AGAGAGAGAGAGAGAGAGAGAGAGAGAGAGAGAGAGAGACCTATTATAACAAAACATATCTATATATCAATTTATTTGAAAGTTTAATTCAAATTCATTAAAACTTGAATTTAAAATATTGTATTATAATTGATATCGTGTTAAATAACTGTTAATATTACCACACAATCGATATTAAACCTGTCATAAGTATGAATAGAACAACCATAACGGAAAAGGAACGACTCAGAGAGATCTATAACAAAGAATTTTACAAATTCATCATGGGCGTTGAATTAAATGAACAATTCATGTCCTTGCTCAAAGAGCACCCATGCGCGTATTTGTTGCCAAGTTTAGAGGTTTGTGTCTAGATTGTTTATCTAATATTTAATATTATTTAGTATTTAATAAAATTATATTAATTATAAGTAGAATTAATTAATGGACAAAGTTTGTACAAATTAAGCCATCTATAAAACTTATCATGCATAGAATTACCCTGGTGAAGTGGCCAAAAGTGTCGCATATTCAGCGAGTTCACTTTGAACCGGGACAACACCAATGAGTTGGCTATACAGTCAGACTTCTATGTTATCAACAAAACGGTTCCAGGGCATTTGGTTGATAACATAGATTAGTTGACAACATAGAAATTGCATTGAAATCCACTAAAATTCATTTATTGATTGAAAAATTACATGTTATTTACTGTTTAAAGAAATAATCAGTTATTTTGGACTGTTTTAGTGATTTGAAAATTGTATCAAAGACTTTGTTTTGCATTTCATTCAAATTATCATTAAATAAGTCGATATATAATTGAGACAAAATCTATCTGTGCTCATAATGTTTAATGAGTTTGCGTATGGGTTGACAGTACAGAAGTTGTTAAACATAGAAATGCTACAAATTTTGATCAAAATGTGTTGATATGATAGATTAGTTGATAACATAGAAGTTGACAGCATAGAATGTTGACAGCATAGAAGTCTGACTGTAGCACTGAAATAGTCTGGCCAACCGGAGTCCGCCGACCAATTACGCCAATTTAACCTTTCAGGTTCACCATGGTCATACCGCCATGACATTTATCTAGATGTCACGCCCGCTCGAACCCTGTGGTCCAACACAGCCAGAGAGGCCAAAATGGAAGCTAACCTCGTGGTGTGGCCCTTATATTTGTCTCTGTACCTGACCTTTACCTCGAGGCCGAACGATTCAGGTCAATTTGGGAACAATTACTATTCGAGCCTATTGTATACCAAGAATGTACCCGGGATCAAATTGTGGCTAAACTGAGCGAGGTGGCCGACTCTGAGGACAAGTATAGGGGCGACGCGTTTGTAATGATGTTTATCGGTTACGGATATGACGAGAAGATCATCGGGTGGTCAGCGCAGCCGCAGCGGCCGCCGGCTCCGGACGATTTGCTGCCCATCAGAGATATTGTGGACATGTTTTCTGAGCATAATTGCCGGGCTTTGCGGCAAAAGACCAAAATGTTTGTATTCAACTGTTGCCGCGAAAGTATGTTTACCACGAGTTTATGTTCGCAATGATTGACATAATATTTAATTTCTTGTGACACTGTATACCAGAATTGGTTGAGACGACAACGTTTGCGCCGGCGATCAGTACCAGTGTATCTCCCGGTGCTATTCGTGTCGACACACGTGACCGTCGGTTGATGTGTGTTGACTGTGAGCCCACACTCATCGACACAATCACCACTTTGGACACCAAATGGAAGACATGGAACAGATCGACGAACGTTATATACGCGTGCGCTGAAGGTATAATAAATTGCATGATTTTTTAAAAATACGCTAGGTTAATTACAAATTAGCTTATTAATCTGTTATATTAACCTGAATATTAAGCTAATTTAATATTTCAATTGTTTATATTAAGTTTCATTGACATGAAAAATGTTTATATTATAATATTTATAATATATTTATAATATATTTATAATATATTGAAGTTATTCATTTTCACCAGAGTTACAGACCTGGTATAATTGTGTTGACGGTCCTATCGGTCACGTGAGTGTATTCGGTCAGGCGCTCAGTCATACTATAGCCCAGTACTCGTGGTATAAAACTCTATACCAACTCTTTCTTATGGTATGTGTTTTGTTATGATTTTATATAATTATTACAATTAATTAATTTTGTTGTGGTTTTTAAGACCGTTAAGCGAATGGACGAGGAGTTTAAGTATGTCTGTTATTACGGTTTGAGAGATGACAGGCCAACAATCAATATGTTTACCACGAATAAAAAGGTTTACTTTAACCCTGGTCTATCCAAAAAATGATCTTGATTATTAATCTCCATAGATATTAATAGTTATGTGAATTATTTAAATGTATTATTTGCATTAATATATGATTTAATCACTAACTTTTGATTAAATTAATTCATTATTATTTGTACCCACATGTTTAATTTAAAAAAATTAAAATACAATAATGATTCAAATTGAAGATTACAAACCCGTTTAATTACCACCAAAAATATATTGTGTTATACAGTATTATATTGACAAATACGTTTATTTAATTGTGGTTAATTTGAGAATTATAAACATAATAAGTACGATATATTATAAATATAATATTATCAATCATTATATTTATAAATTTTTATAGAAATTTATTATTAATAAATGAATTATAGTTACTTATATTGTGTTATATTCTGTATATTGATATATTATTGATATAAATAATTTTAATTTGGTTTTTCTCCCGAAATCTGTGTACATTTGGCGCCGGACTTCCAGACATTATCTGTTGTCTTGAGAATACTTCCCGGCAATGGATTAGGTGTTGGCAATGATATACCGGTGCTCTCAATGTGTGGTCCCTTTGACTGTGCCTCACAACCAGAATCTATAGTTTGTGTTAACCTATTATAAAGTATAATAGTTGTAATTTATTTACCTATTATTTTAATAAAGCAATTCATTACTGTTTTTGTTGTTTAAGTATAACTTTGAAATAATTATAAATGCATTTATAATCAATTGATTTTGCATTAAATATAGGGATTCGCAACAGAATTGCACTTTTCATCCGTGAGATTATAATAGCGCTTATTTTGTTTGGATTTTCACCAAAAATATCATTGAATTCATTCATTATATCCTTTATATCTTTATTTTTCTCTTCTAATTTTTTTTCTGAGTTATTGTTTGATATATCCGTTGATTCCACGAGTAGTCGATTAATAAATGCTTGAATTATATCCATATTTAGACCAAAATTATCCAAAATATATGACTTGTAATCACTATCATTGCTAAAAAATTTAAGGATTATTATTTATTGATAATTATAATATTATTAAAAATATAATAAATAAACATTTATACTTAATATGTTTTATTTGTATTTCAAACAATTTGTTGACAATTTTTCCGATATTATTTACTGTCAGAGATTTAGAATTTGTAGGATATGTTTCAGTGATATCATGTAGGAAATAGTACTTAGAAAAGCAATATAATTTCATATAATTTTCACTCATTATATAATCGTTTGTAATAAATATATGCTGTGAAATGAGTACAATGTTCAGCATATTAATATCCAAATCAATCAATCCTTGAATGCAGTGAAATAATTGTCTCAACAATTGCTGTGAAATAAGGAAATCAATTGAAATGATTGCCAACGAGTGATGGGTTTGTGTCCCAAATATCACGTGTTTTGCATTTATGACATCCCATAGAGTTTGCGAACAATATTCCCATTGAATGTAAATCTTATTGTTTTCAATCCAAGAGTTATATATTTGAAGTAAATATTGAAATTTATATTCAAAAAGTTTCCTAATATTTGTCACAAATTGTTTAATTGATGTGAAATCGCCTAAGAACACAATATATAATTGTTAAATTAAATATTATATACTGAATCTATGCAAATTAAAAGTACAATATGATCAGAAATGTTTCATAAAAAACACTTTCAGCCAATGTAATCAACACTATTTGACAGTAAAAGTACAAATAATAGAATACACAAATACTATTTTTTAGAGCGCTATAATATATTACATTAATTCCATACTGAATCACTTACATAGTTGACACTTCATTATATAATAGAGCTTTTTATTTGTATTATGCTTTACTGTTATTAATTTGTCCATTCCGACATCTTCATCGATTTGTATTTCATAAGATTTGGCAAATGCTGTGATTTCTATAATAATTTCAGATCAATTAAAAACAATATAAATGCAAAACTAATATCAATTTACCGTTATTTTCATCACATGTTTGGCAAATAACCCAAATGTATAAATGGAAACAATAGTCATAAAATAATTTAAAATTATTAGCTCTTAAATTATTAATAAAATATAAATTTATTTTCTCGACAATCGGTTCAATTGAGAAATTTTGTAATTTGTGTAAAATGACTTCACATTTGGGTCTTAGTCTCCAATCAGTCTTTCCATAACTCTCTGTATATTCACTGACACTCATTGATAGCAATAATTTGTATATTTCAATAATTTTTATCTCAAGACTTGCATTAAGAATATTTTCAAAATTGAGATTTAATCTGGAAATATAGAATTTATTATATGTTGTGTTATTATAAAGTGTATAAATAATAAGTTATTAATAATAACATACACTCCGTCTCTGATATCTCTGGAATCAAACGCAAATATTTTCGCTCCAATGAGTGCCAGACTATAGACATCTATTAAATGGTTATAATCGGTGCCAAACTGTGCTTCGGGTGCCATATATTGTGCCACATCTGCCGTGTGTTTAGCACTACTTTGATTGTATGCATCACTCAATGCTTTCACTTCTTTAGACAAACCGAAGTCACATAACTTTATATATCTATAGTTGTTATCAATCAACACATTATCGGGTTTGAGGTCTCTGTGAATGATATTATTTTTATGCAAATATTCCACACTTTCCACCAATTGTTTGAATATTTCATATGATATATAATATTCAAAATCAGAAATCATTGTTTGTTTCTTTGTTTCTTCAAATTGTGTTTTATAGGTTAGAAGTTGTGTTAAATTTCCGGCCAAACACTTCATAACAATATACAGACAATCGTTTTCAATCCATGAATAATAGTATTGAATGACATATTTTGAGCGCAATTTTACCAATTGTTTCGTTTCTTTCAAAACATTTTGTTTATCCTTTTCTGTCAAACCTTAATATAATATTTATTTATTACTGTAATATTTATAAGAAAACACTATCTAACACAATATTAATATAATATTACCATTTAATTGACATTTTTTAATTGCAAATGTATTTCCATTGTATTTTGCCTTCATTTTAAACACATGTCCAAAACCACCCGATCCTAACAATTTCTTCTCTTTATACATACTGTATTAATGTTATTTGATTCACAATTGGTTTCTGAAATATATAGTAATAAATAATATTTCTTATTATAAGTATAACATTTATTACCAAATTGTTCTATTAATTTAGGGTTAATGACACAATCCATATGTTCTGTGATATCAATGGTTTTATAAGTCATCTGATATTTATTACTGAAGTAATCATCAAATGTTGTATATTTTGTTTCAATAAAATTGTTTGTATACTCGTAAACCTTTTGACCACTGATTCCAACGACTGTACCAAAAAAAGTATCCAGTATTGATGTTTGTACAAAGTCATTAAATAATAAATTATTGTGGGTTAATCTAATTTCCTCACAATAGTTGTTATACATATAAACATGTTTATCATTTGATAACATAATTGACTCATTATGGTCTATATAAAATGCAACTCTTATGTTGTGGACATTTTCAAGTAATTCTGGATTTATTTCATTGTCTTTCTCCCAAATAAATACCCGTCCATTGGATGTAATGCCAAATGTCATATCATAAGAGCACATAATGTCCACAACTCTGTATTCAACCGGATATAGTTTTTCAATTGGTTTTTGTGTTTCAATTAAATGATCTTCAAATTGAAATACTCGTCCATCGGATGTGAGGACAATAGCTATGGATTTAAAACATGATATTTTCTCAATATGTGAATTACATAATATTTTATGCGGTTTGATATGTGAAAAAGCGCCTCTCCAGACAAACAACTGTCGATCGCTATTTAAAGCCAATCCAAACGTATCTCCATTGAAAAAGTGTTGCATATTATTATGACTTAATTGTATGACTTCTTCGGGCGTATGTATGGGTCGGTTGTGTCCCAAACCCAACACTCCATCACTATTACTGCCCAACCCATAGACCCGATCATCAGTTGTCACAAACAATAGGTTTCTTTTCTCCGAATGGAAGTAATCACAAAAAATATATAATAATTTAATTTCTTGTTTTAAATCGTTAGGAATTTTGGCACAAATTTCAAACTTATTTAAAATTTCAGACATTATTGTTAAATGTTATAATTATAACAAACATAATATATAATAACTAATTATTCTTCTATTTGGTAGCAAAATATCTTTACATTGTTTACAATTCAATTAAAATATGGTTTTAGAACAATTATAACTAAATTATTATAATAATTTTCACCACAAATTATATTTATAATCATTTTGTATAAATGTTAATTATTTGGTATTTAAATAATATACAGTGAACTTTCTATATAGTGGTCGAGCAGTTGGTAAACATTTTTGGACACTGTATAGAATGATCACTCTATGGAATGTATAGAGAATAATAGTAGGGAATGATAGTAGGGAAAATAAGTGTATATACTATTAAATGTGAAATAATCATATATTAAGATTGTTTNTATATAGTGGTCGAGCAGTTGGTAAACATTTTTGGACACTGTATAGAATGATCACTCTATGGAATGTATAGAGAATAGTAGGGAAAATAAGTGTATATACTATTAAATGTGAAATAATCATATATTAAGATTGTTTAATGTTTATGAGATAAAAATTGAAAAATTGTTTATTAATTTCATTGAAACATCCTAATTTCAAATCATTATAAGACAAAAAATAGTTGTCTCATACCATAAAACACAATAGAGAGCGTAAAAGTAGCAAAATATAACCAAAAATAGCAAAATTTTGCCACTATATGGAAAATTGACTGTATGGAGAGTCACTATATGGAGCGTAAATAACATTACAGGTATACAGTGGCCGCCAATTAATTTTTTTTCGGGCACTATATGGAAAATCCACTATATGGAGAGTCACTATATAGAAAGTTCACTGTATTAACAATACAACAGACATTATAAATACACTAATATAAGACCAAAACTCGATGAATATATGATTAAATACAAGGGTTTGGCTATTAATAAATGTTAAAACAATAAGATTAGTTTCAAATGTATAATCAGGTTAGCAAATGAGAAACTAATATTTTTATTTTACTAATAAGTCTATTACTGATAAACACTTATATTAATAAAATTAAGTATATTGAGTCAAATAGGGTCACCATGGTCAGTTAATCATAAATGTTAACTAATTTGATTAGTAATTTAATATTCAGAGTGAGTGAGTGTGTGAGAGAGAGATGCAAATCTTATATTAATTTTAATGAATCATAAAATGCTTTTTATGCGAATGACTTCACAGTACTAATTGATTTCGTGTTGAATAGCTATTGATATAACACAATAAATTGTTAAATTTTAATTCACACACAACAACAAAAATGGACCAGGAGGGGCCCAGAATTAAGTTTAACGAGGCATTTTATGAATTTATTAATGGCGTTGAATTAAATGACCAATTTATGGCTTTACTTACTAAACACCCATGCAGTTATTTGCTGCCAAGTTTACAGGTTTGCATTTTGAGTATTTATTTATTTGTAAATTATTAATTCAATCAAATAATTTAATTATAAATATTGTAAAAATTTGTTAATAATTGTTAAAATTAATTACAAAATACTAATTTATTATACATCATGCTTAGAAATTCCCGAACGATTTGGCCAAAAAATGTCGCATTTTCAGCGAGTTCACTTTGGTTCGCAACAACACCGAAGTGTTGGCCAAAGCGTTGGATAAGTCGGGTCAGGCGGCGGCCGCCAAACAATTGCGTCAATTCAACCAATCGGACACACTGTGGCCAAACAAGTATGACATTTACCTCGATGTCACGCCCGCCCTATCCCTTCGCACCAACACATCACAGGCTCTCAAAATGGACGCTAAACCCCGTGGAGTGGCCCTCGTATTTGTCATCGAACCTGACCTTTACCTCGAGGCCGAACGGTTCAGGTCTATTTGGGAACAATTGCTATTTGAGCCGGTCGTATACCAGTGTTTGGCAATCAAATTGTGGCCAAACTGAGCGAGGTGGCCAAACTTGACAAGTATAAGGGCGACGCGTTTGTAATGATGTTCATCGGTCACGGATATAACGAGCGGATCATCGGGTGGTCAGCGCAGCCGCAGTGGCCGCCGGCGCCGGACGATGTGCTGCCCATTAAAGATATAGTGGCCATGTTTTGCGAGTTAAAGTGCCGGGCGTTGCGAGAAAAGACCAAAGTGTTTATATTCAACTGTTGCCGCGAAAGTATGTTTCATAAAACTTGCAATTATTTATAAAATTTAAATTTCATAATTAAATTGTTGATATATTGTGCTATAATTGTTTAATGTGTTATTTTTGTCCATGGTGGTATATTAGGGTTTGTCGACACAACCGCAACTCCCAGTGGTGTCCGTTGCCATAAATGTAAGCGTGAACTGACACTGACATGTGCTAAGTGTGAGCCCACGGGCACCGACACAATGGCCAGTTTGGACCCTAAATGGAAAGCCATGAATAAACAAACGCACGTTATTTACGCGTGCGCTCAGGGTAATTGTGATTGCATTATATTTAATGTTATCTAATTTATTAATTAACTAATATTTAATTATATTAAATTCAATGGTAAATAACATGTTATGTGAATATGAATAATATTTTTGTCTAAAATACATTGATTCACACATTTAACCAGGATCTTTGGCGTGGTATCGCAAAGTTGTCGGCCCCATCGGTCACGTGAGTCTATTCGGTCAGGCGTTCAGTCATACAATCGCTCAGTACTCGGGGTATAAAAGCCTGTATCAACTCTTTACTATGGTTTGTGTTTTTTATATAATTTTATGGCATTTTTAACAATTGATTAATATTTTCGTTTTGGTTTTAAGTCCGGTAAGCGATTGAAGGCAATGGGAGACGCCGTACAAGAACCGGAAATTAACATGTTCGCCGTGGATTCAGAGTTGTATTTTAACCCTGGTCAATACAAGGCTGAATGATTATCTGATGGTTAATTATACCGTAATTATATTTAAGAGACAATAAGTTATTATAATTGAAAAATAAAATTATTCAAAATATATGTTTTGTAATCAATGTTTTTATAAACATTTCTATTAAAATTAAATTCATTACTAATATTATAAATTAAATTCAAACAAATTAAAAATTAATAGTTAATGTGGTTCAATTAACTTTCAAACAATTTGTGTGCGATTTTTCTATTTAATTATTATATTAATTAAACACGTATTGAATAAATGACAATTTATAATTTAATTAAATCTAAAATAAAATTCATTACAAAGACTCTATGTTTAAACACAACACACGTGACTTATTGTAATAATTATTTCATAAAAACTTAATTAAAAATAAATTTAATTAATCATTAAATTTCCACTAAATTGTGGGATCAATTGAATTCAGACATTTGCCAAGTGATAGATATATGCGGCCAACACTTTAGTGCCTGAGATATAGTTCTTGCGGTCAATCTTCTCATTCTGTGAGTGCGCGCAGTCATCACAACCGCCTATTGGGGGGACAGAGGGTTGGGGTTAGGGTTGAGTTCATTGACATTACATATGGTATTACCGATTGGCAACAGAAGGACACTCTTTCCGGTCACCTCTTCGAAGGTTAGGGCCACTGGTATTGAACCGCCCTCTCGGGTCAGATCGGGATCCACGCCATACACTGTGTGTCCACACAAACAAACAATGAATTTAATAATAGTTTAGTTTAATTTTAATTAACTATAAAAACTGATTACCGGAACGAACGGCTCGTTTAGCGGCCGTGAAGTTCTGGTTGCGAGTGTCGGCGACCCACGGCTTACTCGGCGGTCGGTTGACGACAGACAAGCGGTTCGGCGAATCGAGTTTCGCGAACTCTGCGGTCAAATACGCGATCAC